TGGCTCCAGAGGGGCAGGAGGGGAAAGCAGGACCACTTTGGGGGTGCACCAGGCTTGCTCCCTGCTGGGCAGGACCTACCAGCAGCTGGGGATGGGGACACATGGACTTGGGAATGCTGCTCCCACATGGCCCCTGAGGAAGGCCCTGGCAGCAGTGACACAGGGGCGAGCCACCTCTAGCCTGTCCAGGCTGTCCTTCCTTTCTTGCATTAAAGCACAGGTGGAGGTTTGTTCAGCTTTGGATTGATAATTGAGAGCATAAAACAGCAGACCAATGCCACAAAGGGGCCAGGATAGCCTTGGGCGCTGCCACACCGCTCCCAAGGTAACTCTCCTCTGAAGGCACAAGGATGCAGCTGGCTCTGCATCCCACATCACAAGGCAGGAAAAGGAGGAAGAAGCAGCCAGGCACAATGCAAAGCACTAAGCCACATGCAGGTTAAAGGCAGCTGAGGATTTCCATGCGGTCTCTAGCCTAAGCTAGCACATCCCATTTCTACTGCCTTCCCCCAGTTACACTAAAACCCACCACCAGAGCAGAACTCGCATCACCCACAGGAACTGCAGTGGAGGCATACACTTCAGCAACACCCTCAGGTGGGTGTGATGGAGTTGCTCATCATTCCCTTCCTTGCTCATTGCCAGGCCTTTCCCCAGGCCCCACACACCAGCTGCCCACCTGCACACAGCACAGCTGTGCCCAGGGAGCACTCCGCCCCACAGAGCTGAGGCACTCTCCCCACACATGCTCTGACCTGTCAGAGACTGTCTGGGTCACATCTGCATCACCTCCTTGTCACCACAGCCACAGGAGCCAGGGGCAATCAGGAACGAGGAGAAACAAGAGAGCTGGTGAAGTTCAAACACTTTTGACTGTAACAGCACCGACACTGGGAATAAAGGAAAATGGAGCTATTTTATTTCATACAGACTCAGTTTCCTAGAAGCACTAATAGCCCCACAGAGACCACCTTGAGAAGGCAGGAAGAGCAGCAGCCCTGCTGGAGAGATCCTGGGCAGCAGCACCTGAGCAGAGTCAGCAGCGTGCCCTGGCTGCGAGGAAGGCCAGCCACACCAGGGCCTGCATCACCAGGGCACTGGCCATGCAGAGGGGTGGGACCCTCTCCCCTTTACTCAGCACTTGGGAGACTACATCCAGACACTGCATCCAGGCTGGGCCCCCAAAAGATAAATGCTGGTCCTCTCGGCTGCTTCAGTTGAGGATGTGAAAGCTGTCAGAGGCTGGAGCACTGCAAGGAAAGGCTGAGGGAACAGGGTTTATTCAACCTCATTTATTCAACCAGCTTTGGGGAGACCTAACAGCACTCCTTTCCCACCCACCCCCCAGACCTATGAGAAGGCTACTGAGAAGACAGAGCCAGGCACTTCACTGAGAACAAGACAATTATTATGGACTAAAACCAGGTAGGTTTCCTGGAGGAGGGGGGGAAAAAAAAAGTTTCAACTTGAGAACTTGAAGCAGTGGAGCAGAGGCCAAGAGAGGTGGTGTCATCTGTCCTTGGACATTCCCAGACCCAACTGAAGTAGCCCTGGGCAACCTGGTCTGAAGTCAGTGCTAGCCCTGCTCTGAGCAGGCCTTATACCAGAGCCCCCCCACCTCAGCTGGTGTCTGGTAAGACCTGGAGTAGAGTCAGCAATGCAGGGTAGGGCTTGGGCTCTCCTAGCTAGAGGATGAGCAGGTGCAAGGACAGAGACAGCTGTCAACACCATGTGCATCTGTGTGACAGACTCATCACCACCCAGGCATGGTGTAACCACAAGTGAAGACATTGCAGCTACAAAAAGCACTATTTCCTCCAGTTCAGCCTCTGCTCTGCTGCCTAACAGCATCACTGTACAGTGAAAGGCAGATACTGGGAAGAGGGATGGCCATTTTCCAGGCCTGGCCAGGGCAGAGTGAGTCCCAGTGCCAGACAACAGCATTTCTGTCCAGCAGTCACAAGTTCTTCTGTGAGGGAAGACGGCGCTTGTCTTTGATGGCATTCCTCTTCCTCTTCTTGTTCAGGAAGCTCTCCAGCTTTCCACTCCTCTTCAGCTCTGCATACTTCTCTGCTAGCTCCAGTTTCCGCTTCTCAGCTGTAGAGGAGAGGGGAACAAGGTTTTAAACTGATGCCCAAATCATCTCTACAGACCAGCCCCTTTTCACCTCTCCCTCCCTGGCTCCAGGCCTGGCTTGTCCCTTGAGTACCAGTGCTAGAACAATCCCTCCACAGCTCTGTGGAATATTACAGACAACTCACTTCCAGTGCTTGGAGTCCTGTCAGCAGTACTCCCTCTAGGTCTTCCTGCAGCATGTTCACACCGAGTACTTACATTTCTTCAGGAAGAAGGGTTTCTTTCCCTGCTTGGCCAATTCCCTCTGTTGTCTCTTCAAAGACAGCTCCCTCTCCCTCAGTTTCTGCTGTTTTTTCTGTGCCTGTTCTTGCTGTATCTGTACAGAAAGGATGGCCTGTGTCAGCAAGTGTCTAGGCAGACCTCAGGTCACACATCCTCTCTTCTACTGCATTGCCTCACAGGAGAGGAGATGCTGCACTGAACTCACCATGCGGTTCAGGAGCTGCTGGAGTTTTTCCTTCTGCTCCACATTCCGGCACTTTTTCAGCTGCTTCTGAATCATCTGAAGAAGAGAGCAGAAAGCTGCATGACTGCCTGCCTGCCACCTCCACTGTGAAAGGCCTTTGTGGAAGCTGTCCCTGCCAAGCAAGGTTCTTCTGGTTAAGGACAGGCACACAGCATCACCTCCTTCTCCTGCTTCTTGATGCTGTCCAGGAAGCTGTATGTCTTCATAAATATTTCAGGCTTATACTCTCCAGACAGGTCATCAAATCGAGGGTCTCTCTGGACCTGAAGGCAGGGAAGGCAAAGGTAAGAGCTGTGGCCAGGGTTACCCTGTTAATAGTCTGCTTACTCTCCTTCCACGGATCAGACCTTGCCATTTTTTTCTTTTTTTTACTAGCAATATTACGCACCCACCATCGAAAACATCCGCAGTTGTCAAAGACTGAGTCCAATAATCAAGGTGGCAGTCCCTCACAAAGTCATCATGCCTGCATCCAGCCTACCAAGCAACATGCACTTCCATGCGCAAGTCTACCACCCAGGAGTAGCCAATTCAAGGAACAGCAGCATGAGCACTGCCTCCAAACACCTGCAACTCCCAGACCAAGAGCTGGCTGAACATGTGTTGTCAAGGTGATGGATTTGGGAATTCAAACCTATCTAGATTTTCACATTACCTGGGTCAGGTCATACAAAAAGAGAGAGACAGAAAGAGATCACTAACTGTGGAAATTAACATATTAAGATGATCCAGCAATTTTAAGTCAAAGTTATATTCAGATTAGAAACTAGATAGACATTTGAACTTCCAGTGTGATTAGTACTGAACAATGACCACAGCTTGCAGTGCAATTGTCATTGGTGGCAGCCATCACCTCTTCTAGAAACACTTGGGTCTCAAATGTTCGAGTTACTCCTCAAGCTGTGCATTACGCAGGGCAGCAGGTGATACAGAGAGCTGCCGCTCCCGCACCCAATCTCTTGCTGTCCCCAGAGACACACTAGCACTACCTGCGCTCACCAGACAGTGGTCCAAGCCCTCCCCTCCAGAAACAGCTTGTGTCGTCTTCAGCAGCCCCATTACCATGTCTGTGCCCTATTAGCATCGCTAAGGAAAGTCATCTCCTGAACTGGGGAGGGAGAGCGCCCACCTTCTTGGTAACAGAGACAACTTGTCGCAGAAAAGGTACAGGCTTCTTGGCAGACATCTCCAATGGCCTGAAAAAGAGAAAAACGTACTTAAGAGGAACAGAGGACAGAACCAGGCCCAGGCTAACGTGTCAGGAGGTTAGCCAGACCCTCAGGAGAACATTACTGCACAGTGTGGAAACAGCAGACTCTCCGACTCAATCCTCACCATGATACCTACAGAGAGCAAAGAGGTGACTCGGTCAAGAGCCAGACAAGGCTACTACAACCAAATGATCTATAAATGTGCGGTTAAAACAATCCTACAGAAAACTTGATACAACCCCAGTATCAAGTGAAAACCCACCACCCACACCAGTAAATGCGCTGTACTCAACTGTTCCTCTCCCTCTCCAAGTTTTCATTCACCATGCAACAACCCTCTTCTATTCCTGGCCCACCAACTCATCCACTCTGGACTAATACTTACACTAAAAGGCAAGAACAAACTTAGAAATTTCTGCGCTGACCTGGTAGTTACAAAGACAGGACAATTCTACTGTGGCCAGGCTCAGCGAGAAAGCACATCATAACACAAGTTAAAAAAAAAAAAAGTCAGGCCCCAGGAATAAGGGCCGTACAGCTTATGGTACACATCCCAAAAGAGACTTCACAGTGAATCATGACCATGAAGACCATGGTGACAACCAATTAAGTGAACAAGTTCTCCTTGCAACACAGGCCTTTAGAGCTTGATGTTTTAGATGTACGAGGGGGACAATCTAAGGTGGGAGAACGGGGTGTTACTCTCCCCATATTCCTTGGATGCTGTGTCCTGCAATTTGTCAGTACATCAGGTAAATTATTAGAAACATGAAAAGAGCTGTGAACCACTTGTTGAGAGTACCCAAAATGGGGGCATTATTCCCACATTCAGCAACACAGTAACAGCAGGGCAGGAACATAAACCACCCTGCAGGCATAAGTTTTTCCAAATCCCACCTAGGGCAGTGTTCAGTGTATTTTCATGTCTGCTGATGTGGCTACACCCCTGTACAATGCTCTCGAGTCAGCTTTACACAGCATTGCTGAAACCAGCTCAGTTCCCTGAAGTCCTTCTTTTAAGAAGCTCACTTCCATAACAAAAACATGAGAGAAACAGCATGTGGGTTTTACAGTGATGCATCACTTAAAGGATTAGGGGAATTAAATAAAAACAGAATTATGCAAACTGTGTGGCAGAAATAGAGACACTGTGTGGAGATGTTGTACTACACAAAATCCCCCAAACTCTTGGGTAAAAGGTAAAGCAGAAACATTATTCTAATCAACTGTTTACAGCAGAAGAAACATGTTTTCCACAGAGATCCAGAAATAGGTTAGGGAATGCCAATGTAACAGAGGAAACCTGTTCAAATCACTTAGATATGACTCCAAGGACTGAAAACCAGCTAACTACTGCAAATAAAGGGTAATGTTGTAACAGTTGTTACCAGTGGGGGCCTGTGGAGGACTGTAAAAAGATGTGATCGTTTTTGTTGTGTTGAACGCATTTTATAGTCACCACATCAACAGCACCTACAAAGTATGCAAATAGGAGATGTAAAGACCACTGAGGACAGGAAAACGTCTGTGATGGTAAGTAGTGTAGAAGGGGAAAAAAGGAAAATCAACACGGACAAGCCACAGATGAGACAACAGCAGAGGGATGAATGAAATTCCAGAACAATTGGCTGTCACTGCAACTCCAGCCAGTGGGAGCCGGGCAGATGCTGGTAAGCTGGAAGAGCAGCAGGGTAACTATTTCAGGGCACAGGGAACACAAGTAAAGCACTATCATACAGCTTAAAAGAGAAGCATACCGTGCCATGAGTTAAAAGTGCCGTAATACAGAGGGTGTAAAGGAACTGAGCAGCGATTTAACTACCAAGTAACAGGTGGCTGCTGGGGATTTGAACAGGATAGGACATTAAGAGCTCTGAAACAGCAACATACCGTTCCCAAATGAAACACTATAGTGAAAGGCATTATTGTGTAGCACATTAAAGGAGACCTACACCAGCTCCAAGGCAATGGCAACACTGTGAAGAGCTCCCAGCATAACTTCTGGAGTGCAGAAAGGACACACGCATATTTTTCTCATCACAAGAGAGCCTCTTTACCCCTTTTTGCTTTGTTGCCGCTTCACGGTAGCTTTGGTAGGCTTTGCAGTTTTCCTCCCACTGGTTGCCTGTTTGCACACTCTTGTTCTCATATCACTCTGCATCTGCAGGAGCTCCTCAAAAGACATGTGGGATTGATCTGGAAGAGAGTGCAGGACACACCTGAACCAAGCAGCTTCTAAAGGCACCTCCCACCCCCAAATTCCACCAAGAGGGATGTCTGAGAGCCTGAGACAGCGACACGAGCACAGTGGTGCCATCCCTATACAACTGCATGGCAGAAAGAAGCCACTGCAGCTCTCGGCCTTTGATTTCTCTCTCATTAATCACTGCAGTCTTTAGCACTAGAATAGGCTGCCCCTCTCCCCAACATGTCTTTGCTCCTCTCTCTGCTCAGTAGCATACACAAGACCAGTTCAAAGTTTTCACCTGGTACAAAGAGTGGTACGAGCTCTGCACTGGGCTGTGTTTTTGCTGCACTGCAAATTCTGAGGGGTCACCTCTCGGTCCTGAGTCTTTCACTTTAACAGACTGTTCCTGTCCCATTGCCTTTAAATGGGTATCATCACACCTCTCACACCATAAGACCAGCCAGAAGGTGCAGGAAAACCATGTGGCCTGTTCAGTCTGTCTGTTAAGACTCGGAGACGGTCTCTCCCCACTGCGCATCTGCCATAGCTCTGCTCAGTCTGCAACGAAGCGATTCCCGCGGCAGAGCCTCCTCAGCACCCCAGAGGCCTGTAAACTACTGAAATCCAGACAGTCAACCTTCACCATCTCGCTACTGACAGGAATAGCTTATAGCCTGCTTCACTGGGGGAAGAACAAAACCCCACAACACAAGAAAGCAGTTTCATATTCTAGCCCTGCTGTGAGCTCCCCCCAGTGTTACTTACACCTTGTGTTTCATAACATCTCTGAGCAGTGCTAGGCACACGGTGTTTCTAAGCCTTTGCAATACTGTGCTTTTGGTACAAAATACCCGAACTGTGGCCTAGCAAAAACAATTGCATCCTGCCTGTGGTGGGTTGACCCTGGCTGGATGCCAGGTGCCCACTAAAGTCGCTCTATCACTCCCCTCCTCAGCTGGACAGGGGAGAGAAAATATAACAAAAAGCTCACGGGTCAAGACCACCCAGCAATTACCAGCACGGGCAAAACAGACTCGACTTGGGGAAATTAGTTGAATTTATTACCAATCAAATCAGAGTAGGGTAATGAGAAATAAAAAACAAATCTTAAAACACCTTACCCCCCACACCTCCCTTCTTCCCAGGCTCAACTTCACTCCCAATTCCTCTACCTCCTCCCCACAAGCGGTGCAGGGGGATGGGGAACAGCAGTTGTGGTCAGTTCATCACATGTTGTCTCTGCCGCTCCTTCTTTCTCAGGGGGAGGACGACTCACACTCTTCCCCTGCTCCAGTGTGGGGTCCCACCCACAGGAGACAGTCCTCCACGAACCTCTCCAACATGGGTCCTTCCCACGGGCTACAGTTCTTCATTAACTGCTCCAGCGTGGGTCCCTTCCACGGGGTGCAGTCCTTCAGAAGCAGACTGCTCCAGCGTGGGTCCCCTGCGGGGGTCACAAGTCCTGCCAGCAAACCTGCTCCAGCGTGGGCTCCTCTCTCTGCACAGGGTCACAGGTCCTGCCAGGAGCCTGCTCCAGCGCAGGCTTCCCATGGGGTCACAGCCACCTGCTACAGCATGGGGTCCTCCATGGCTGCAGGGGCACAGCCTGCCTCACCATGGTCTTCACCATGGGCTGCAGGGGAATCTCTGCTCTGGCACCTGGAGCACCTCCTCCCCCTCCTTCTGCACTGACCTTGGTGGCTGCAGGGTTGTTTCTCTCACATTTTCTCACTCCTCTCTCCGGCTACTGTTCTGCAGCAGTTTCCCCCTGCCTTCTTAAATACGTTATCACAGAGGCGCTACCACCGTTGCTGATAGAGCCCCTGGCCAAGGCTGAGCTAATGGGACATGGGGAAAGCTGCTGGTACCTTCTCACAGAAGCCACCCCTGTAGTCCCCCCTCGCCGCCACCAAAACCTTGCCATGCAAACCCAGTACGCTGCCCTGTGACACAAGGTTTCTGCAAACTCTTCCCAAAATCTGCTGCCAAATTCAGGAAGCAACATGAGGTCAGTCACATTGGCTCAGAGCATGGACTCATCATCCCAGTCACTCTCATCTTGGCAATAACCAAGACTTTCTGCTTCAGAATCTATTCACATCATCCAGAAAATGTAATAAGCACATCCAAGCGCTGCCTCAATAAATGTTAGTCCTCAGAGGAGGGTTAAGAGAACATCGTGTATCCAGTTTGCCACACAAGGGACAAAGGAAATGTGAATACAGCACTATTTCATTACACTGCTTCCCCAAAACACCCTTCCCACTTATCTTACTGCAGTTTGATATCCTCTCTTGCTTGGGCTCCTGCAAATACCCTTGCCCCCTATCTTCTTAGGGATGACAGCACTGTTGCCCTTTTCCCATGTCACTCTTGTACAATCACTTATTGCCTACCTGCCCAGAACACGAAATCACCTTCAGACCAAGGAACTGTGCCCACATTCAGGTAAGAGCTGAGCGCTGAGCAGCTCTTTAAAGCAATTTAAAGTAATCACGCTGTTGAGGTTCACAGGGACTTAAGAAAACCAATAAATTCTAGGACTTAGACAAGAGCATCTGCTACCACGCTGTTCAAATTCAGCGCAGAGAGCTTTAGACTGCTGCACTATAGGAAAAATCTGTGCTAATTATACAAGTTACTGGGGTATAGAGCAATTAATCACTATATAGGGCAATATTTGAACATCACTGGATACTCACAGCATCACCAGACAGACAAATGAAAGGCTCTGAGCAAGGGCATTCAAAAGGGCAAATAAAGCATTAGAGGCAAGAAAGAATGATGTGCAAACTAACATTTCACGAAGACAAACAAGACGCCATCACTTGGCACTATAATACTCCACTTAGCTGCAATTCCAGAACAATACTGTTAAAATAGCAAAGGCTTACAAGATGTCAATGAAAATGAGATAAAGGCACCATGTAAAAAGATGCAACATTTAGCAAAGGATTAGAAAAGAGATTTGGTATAAATCAGACAAAGCAAAGACACGCAGAGCTTCCACTGATAGCATATTTCAATACTGGTAGGGGCTACCAGACCAGACCTGACTATGCAAAACCTAATGGGGAAAGTGCTTTCCACACAGTAGCATCAGTCCACGAAATACATCCTACCATCTGTTTGTAGGAGACTGAATTAGCCACTCGTATTGATAAAAACATCATTTGACATCAACATAAAAAAAGAAGCCTGTTTTGGGGCAGAAGTTAACGGTCCCAGCAGGCACTCACTGCTGGGCAGCAGATTTGGCAACTGTGTGCGCGAAAAGGTTGCTGGCTTCCTGCTCCAAAGTGGCTGGTCCTATCCACAGCCTCTGCACAGGGAGAGTTCATGATCCCTAAAACCTGTGCTGATGGGTTCTCTACCAAAATACCTATTAAAAGACAGGATTAGCTTACTTTCCTTGTTTCTTGCATTCTTTCTTGACACTTTAATTTCCTAATTATTTTTTTCGTTCCTTTTTTTCCCCCCCAGAATATAATTTACCTTTTCTGTGCTGTCTCTATAGTCCATTTCATCTTCCCTCCTTGCCATTTTTTCCCTTCCTCTATTATTTTGTGGACTGTTTCCTCTTCTTTCCACCTCTTGCTAAGCTACTGTTACCTGCTGATGATAACATGGGCATTTCCTGCCCACCAGCATGGCCTCCCCAAGTTTCCTCTCCTCCCGCAGACTCCTGTGACACATGGACACCTTATGCCTTTCTCAGCTGAACCTGTTGAGGACTATACGACCTGCTGAGCACATCAAGGGCATCCAGAATTCAAAAACAGACGGCCTAAGAAATGGCTTGTATCTGCCCAGTCATTCCCCACCGAGACAAACTTAGTGCTGGACTCTAATATAACTACTTCTGTTCCGGAAACGAGATTACAGAGGGCCCAGACAGATGGTAAAAGCAAAATCACTGTTCCCATTGACATCCATCTGTGGGAAGGAAAGGGTGACTGTCAGTAGTCTTCTCCCTGAGCTTTGCTAAAGCTCACCATTGGTAGAGGAAAACAAAATGCCTACAGATGGGGGGGGCACCCCACCCACCACTGGAATCCCCTTCCTGAAAGCCTGCCTCTGGGTGAGATGTGACTGCCCCACGGCCCCACACAAACACAGCAAGGAGACTCCTCTCACGAGACAACCAGCAACCCCTGTGACAAACCGTGCCACACCGTGTTCTTAACAGTATTTAGCACTGATGTCCGTTCCCTCACAATTCTCTTCAAGGGCCTTTTGACATATTTCTCATAAGGCTGTCATTCTCACCGTGATCATTCCGAGACAAGGAAGCCGCGCTGCGTACCCTGCCGCAGGCGACAACAACCAC